CCGATAAACCGATAAACCAATAAACCCGATAAAAGGATAAAACCCGATAAACCAATAAACCCGATAAACCGATAAACCCGATAAACCGATAAACCCAACCGATAAACCCGATAAACTAATATAATTAACCGACACTATACCCGATAAACCAAACATTCAACAAACCGATAAACCTTATAAACATAGACCCAACTCAGCAAACCCGATAAACTGATAAACCCAAACATCAATACTTGTGGTCGAAACCCATGAATAAGGAACCCGAGGACATCAACAATTGAAACATGGGTCCTTCAGCTCTTTCCGAATTGGACCGTTGAGCAAGGCTTCCTGGTTGTTCTTGACCTCCTTCATGATCTGCTTTCTGTGGTCCATGTAGAGCTCAAACACAGCAATACCGAACCGTTCAGGATAGTGCTGGGACATCTTGAGATCAGAGCCCCCCGAAACACGAAGCTGGCCCGAAGAGTCGACGTATTTGTTGCTCATCTCTGCTTCAAAGACCTTCCCCTTTGGCAGAGGACAGTACAGCTTGTAGATGAACTGATAGTTGCTGTAAAGCACGGTTGGCTTTGGGCCTTGAATCGAAGGTGCGCTTCAATTTAGCCCCCACTTCATGACAGCCCCCACTTCCAAAACACAAATTACAAACTGGTACCTAAATCCAGATGAAGGGACTGTCTCCTCCGTAAGCTCCCATCCAAATGAAGACCTTGAAGGCTTCAAGGCTGACTGGAACTCTTGAGTGCACGATGTTTGAACCCGACTAGCCCCGTAAACTCTTCAGGTTTACAGCCAGCATACCAAACTCCTTTCAAAACGAATCCAAAGCACCTTATAGACCGATATCTTTGAGCATAGCCAAGCAAACAGTGGATGCGCTTCCAGCAGGCTGCTCGATGGCTGCTCTATTACCCACATCAATCTCAGCAGGCTGCAAATAAGAAGGTAGATCACCACTCGAGCAGTCATTTGGTTCCTTGGATGGGAAATATGGCAACCGTTCATAGCTTATAGCTCCCTTTATGATGGCTTGGTATTGCTCGCCCTTCATTTTTTCTCTTCACCTGAACCCCGTCAGAACTCTAGCAAATGTATGCTAAATCATCCAACTTCTGAAGCACAAATCCTTGAAACACAGCATTTGGGATGTTGCTAGATCACTAGAATTGGGAAACAGCTGTCTTGGGCGCATGTTGGACAGATACCCCACATTGAAATAATACCTACAGACCTAGACCCCGCTTTCAGAGTCCAAACCCATGATCGCGGCAGCTTCCTTCCACGCGGTGATGAAGTCGCCTCGCCATCCAATCCTGAGTTGCAAGTGTTTTCATTTTGCCAAATACTATATTTAGTTTTCTCTATAAACACAACAAACACTGGTGCAGTAGTTTATCTATATACATGAGCCCATGGGGTTCATTTGATAGGTCCTTTGATGAAACCTGATCTTTGGGGAACCACAGTTCATATCCACACATTCGATGTCCAAGCGGCGACTTTGTAGAAAGCACTACGTTTCCAAGGGCAGCTTTAGGTTTGAATGAACGGCCGCGCAACAAGATCTCCATGCGAGCTCCACCCATGAAATGCCTCAGCTGCAGGACACTCCCCCCACAAGAAGAAGGGAGGGTGGCCAGGGGCCGACCTCTCTTCTTCTTGTGGGGGGGGTACCTTTGTGGAGAGCACCAAAGTCGACATCTTCTAGGAAAGGGTGGATGGGTGGGAGTCAGGAGTTTGGGTGGAACCTCAGGATGAGGTTGGGTGGAACCCCTTGAAAGCAACGCCTAGGTGCACAGTATAGGAATGTTTTCCATGGTTTGTCGACTGAGGGAAGAGGAGCTTTGGCAACTTTTCGAGAGTCTCATGGTACGCCTCATCGAAGCTTTTCAAGATGTCCTCTGCAGACTCCCCATGTGTACTTCCTGACATCCGGACAGGCGATATACCTACAGTACTGTTGGGCATTGGTCACTGAACATGTTCATACTATGAACTTGGAGACTGCCTTCTTCCGCTGCAGTCTTTGGTTTCTTTTTGGGCTGCTTCTCTGAAGCCTCAGACTTTGACCTCTTCTTCTCACCCTTGGCAGCCTTGGTTTGACCTGCAACTATAGCCAAAACAAACAGATCTAGATATATGTGCCCTTTGAGACATTGCTTCACATTTGCAGGAGTTGGACTACAACTATGCGCCTTCTTTCATCGGAACTGGTTCAGGAGGCGAGGATTTCAGGGACTTGACTTCCGCAAGGTAATTGTTTGGTACCTCAGGCTTCAGCTTCTCATGTTTCTTACGGTGGGCGGCGAATTCCGAGTCCTCGTCAACATCCTCACACAAGAGATCGTCCACCTGGAACAGTGGAGGGATTGAGGAAAAGACATGTGACATGTGTATGAGACATGATTCAAGAGTCTCAAATCAGAAACATACTTGGGCACCTTCTGTTTCACTCCACCTTCGCTTTCACTGCCATCAGGAGACCACTGTGAAGGGGGGGATCTGGTCATCACCATCAACCTCACGAGGGCGTGGGAATGGTTTTGGAACAGGCTTCTCATCCATGCATGGGCTTGGAGTCGTAGACAGGTCGCAGGCCAAGGGCTCATCAGACGACTCATCACCCTCTCCCATGAAGTATGAAGAAGACTCATCACCCTCTCCCATCAAGCGTGGTGAAATTTCACCAACATGTCCTAGGATGAGAGTTGGTGAGTCTCCTGGCCGAGGAACACCTGGGGGGATTGTCCTCTAGCGCTTCCAACCCGTCCTTCGCCAAAAGGAAGTCAATAGCCTTCATGTCCTGCTCTAGGTCGTTCTGGTCGGATGATGGTAGGGTGTCATTGGTGAGCTGCGAGTCGTTTGGCTGGCTCTCATATTCTTCCAAGCCCTTATGGCGCGTGGTGTCACCAAGGCCCCGTCCCACCACACACCCGCTTTTGACATGCACTTGTGGGATGACCCAGATCCCGCTTCTGGCATGCAGGCAAGCTTCATCCTCCACCGTTTTCTTCCTCATCATGTCCTTGAGGCGCTGCAACGAAGGGGAATTGCTGCTGGTCATAGAATTCCGCCAGAGGCCCCTCAAAGTAGACCAAAGCTTCCTCATTCTAGAGGCAGCTGCGCACTCTTCAATGGCTTGATCCTTAAAAGCGGAAGGTTGACCCCCTGGCATGAATCCTGAAAAAGCTGGAAGGGATGTTTGACCTTCATTCTCACCTGACTTCAATTATAGAAGACAAGTGGCTGTGATTTCAGTCGGACGGATGACCAGGTTCTTCAGGGCAGGGCAAAAGCATACCGTGGTAACTAACACAGGTGGAGTGGTGGTGGTGTGAAGCAAACCGTTTGGTTTACATTCCCATGGTTCCCACTCCTTCCCTGTCTTGTTCACAGACTGGCAAATCAGCAAGGCTTCAGCTTTAGATGGAGCCCGGTAGCGGAACTGTTCCACTGCCAGGATCTGCAGCAAAAGCCAATGATGGTTGATCCTGGGTTCGTGCCAGATAGGAGTTGCATACAGTATGTGCGGAAACATTTCACAGCATATACAGTTAGACGGATGGCCAAGCATCACATCTTCCTCTCCCAGTCTGCACATCTTTGAGAGTTCAATGAAACGACATTCTTGTTCATGACCTAGAGGCACCAGAAGCTTCTCCTGTGAAATCGTGAATTGGTTAACTGTTGGAAGGGCCTTGTCCACCTACCCTTAAAGATACAAGAGGCTTGACGCCCACAAGATATAGCTCTTTTCAAGTCGGGTCCTGGAGCTCCTCTGGCATGGCCTCAAAGATCTTTTCACCCACATAGGCGAGGTGCTCCACCAACTCTTCGTCGGAATCAACGCTAACTACCGCGGTCATGGCAGCTGAAACAAAACTAACCTGGCTTTTGATCAGCTTGAACTATACAGGTCACATGTGGAAGAGAATTGGTGTCACATGACGTGTGTGTTCTCTCCAGAGCCCCTTCCAGACCCAGAACCAAAGCCGAGAGTCGCCGCTGCGACCGCCGGCAGGTGAGTGGCTCCAAGAGGTCGTTCATATGATCGGCGTGAAGTAGCCCTGAACGGCAAGAGGATTCTGATATGGAAGGGGGGACTTTTGAATTCTATTTGGAGGCTGCTCTTTGGCCATCTTTCTTTCCCTCAAAAAGCCAAGTGTTACTAGTAGCGATGCACTTTCACTCAAATCCTCTTGTGATCCAGCCGAGTTGCCGATTGATCCAGACCCATGTGCTGCATACAGGAGCTTCGAAGTTCATACCAAACTGAGTTGAGGAAATAAAATGTCTTTGCCACTGATTTAACGGCTCTTAGGGTTAGAGGCTCTGAATCTGCCATATTTTGTGTCAACTTTACATACTGCGTGTAGTTGTGTGTACGTAGACAGTTTGGAAGCCTTTTGGTGTGACTTGGAAGCTCCACTGTGTTCCAGCCAGGTCTCGTTGGCAAAGAGGCGTAAGGTCATTGCCAATCCCAAGGCGAAACCAAGCCCAGAGTTGATGTCCTGCTCTTCTGGATTCGATGCCGGAGAATCATTGATCTCGAATGTTGCACTCGAGAAACCATTCTTCCTGCACAAGGTCTAACTTCAACCCACCCCGAACCCTTCAAACAATTTCCACCCAGACTTTCAATCTCCAGGGTTTTGCTTTTTTGTGTTTACCCTCACGGAACATTTAACTCTGCAATGCACATGT